CCAAGAAAATTTACCGCTGAACTGAAAAACACGAAGAAAAATAATAACAAAATCCAAAATGGCTGCGCCCGATACGCATGAACCAAGCAATCAGTCATACCAACATATCATGGTACAAAGAATACAAGGTATGATATTGCGCAGGTTGGTCGCTACGTCATAGGTGATAACAGGCGCTATTGGTCAGCACGCTCCGCGCGCTAGTTCAAATCGTCAAGGTATTGTTATAAACCTGTTTTTTTGTTTATATACCGTCATTGAATTATCGCTAAGCAAGTTACTGTGGAGCAGTGCGTAAGGAGTTGGGCTAGGAAGCGAGAGACCGGAGTTCGAATCTCGGCGGGACATAACTTTTTTTTTTAAATACTGTTGTATTCTATAGTTTATTTTTGTAGTATAAAAGAAAGAACTATTTATTCTGTTATTTTTTAATCTGCGGTATTAATATAAATTGATTGTTAGTACAATATCTCATTTAATATAAAATAATATTCTACTTTTTGAAATGTATCTGGCCCTAATTGTACCTAAAAGTAATATATTTTTACAGTGATATACCATATTGTAAACTATTTAATATTTCAGTCACTTAAAAAGTTAATTTGCATTGAATAATTGCCTACGATCAAAGGAAATTTGAGCTATATAATCCTTGATGGGCATATTCTGGGTATGCAAATACTTCCTCTAAATTTTGGGTTTCGTTCAACCGATTTATTCTCAAAACCTGAAACATCTACATATAAAAAGAAGCACAGGCCACTAATTATAATAAATTTCACCCTTGGAATTACTTCTATCATAATTACAATACATTCATCTGCATTGGCATTTTCTACTTTTCGATGGGATAATTCCCAACATTTTTTAAATGATGTAACAATTCCTCTTGTGGTTACTTTTCCATAGATATCCTCATCTCTATCCTCATGTGAATTCAGAGGCAATGAACATAAAAATTATTTACCATAAACATCGCAAACTAAAAACCTAATAAACAATTTTATACCGAATATAGAAATAAATTTAGTATTCTTACCTATTATGGTCCAAATCCATGTTAATAGATAATTATTATTTTTAAATATATTTTTGAAACTGCTGGTTTTAGTAATTATTAAATTAAACGAACTAAAAAGTCTTAAAAATAAACAATTCTTAACCATAACAGAGACCATAACCCCAAAAAATGCAGATCTCCTGTCAACTTTCTTTATATTTTATTTATTCATTATTTTCCTATTGACGCCACAGGTGGTATGCGCGAACTGAACGAAATTGGAGCCGCTATCGATCATATCTTGTATTCTTTGTACCATGCCAACATATGATATGAAACTTCCCTTTCTACGATCTGAAACGTGATTGGTGAAGGCTATGTACGTCACAACTCAACCGGAAATGTTCAAGTTTGAAATTATCATTTAATTTCTAAAGATATCATGGAATTTTTCCTAATTTCCTATGTATTGTAAGTAATGAAGACTTAATCTATGCAATACAATGATTTATTTGCGAATTTATATTCATATATAAAAATGTCAAGTTGGCACATTTATTTATTTATTTCCTGACATTGTCATTAGTTTTGACACTTTAGTTTTACTATTACGCGTTTTTGGTTTAAATAAATAATGTTGTGATACTTTAACTATAATAATGTTTACTAGCAGACCTTGCAGTCGAACCTTGTTCTTTTTAGCTCTTTTAGTGCAAAGTGTACAAGATGGCTTAATAGCCGTAAAAAAACGCATCGCAACTTTATTTGAATATTTTAAACGGGAATGTGGTAGTAATGGCCCTTTATATCCCTTAAGTGCTGTTAAGGAGGTGAGTTTTGTTGATGTCAGTAATAACTATTTATATATTTATAATTAATTTATTTTTGTTTTCTAAAATATTTTGATTAAAAGAAAATATGTAAAAGTGGACAACGCTGTGCCGGTCAAGCTTAATCACGTTACTAAAAGTTTATTTGATATTGTCAAGCTGGTTGCATAACTGCATACTGCTAAAAAATCGCAACGTGCATTGAGGAACCTGGCGCATTCGCAAGAAAGTAAAGAAAATTATAGAATTCTTTAGAAAAATCTAGAAACAACCGCCAGGGGGTATATAAGGCCCGCGCTTTGACAGTTGGAAGTTTGAAGTCTGAAGTCTGAAGAAGTCTAAGTCTGAAGTTTGATAATACCGCGAAATACCGTTAGAGTAATAGTAGTTGCATAAGTTGTGTTGTAAATAGTAAGTTGTGTGTACAGAGTGAAACAAATAAATTCGTTAAGTATTTTATCGTGAGTTTAAATAGTGGACCCACGGAATCCGTAACAATTGGTGTCGGAAGTGCGATTTAAGTGGATTTTGAAGATTTTACACCGAATTTGGGAATTTTTATGGTTGGTACGAGACAGCAAGCGAAGAAAATGGAAGAAGTAAGCAAATTATTGGGAGATTTTATGGAGAAATTAGAGAGAGAAAAGGAAGAGGAAAAATTACGACGTCAAGAAGAACAGGACCGGCTTGAGAAAATGTTGGGTAATTTGGAAATTCGTTTCGAGGAGCGACATCGTAGAGAAAAACAAGAAGAACAGGACCGGCTTGAGAAAATTTTCGAAGATTTGAAAATTCAACGACAACAAGACAAACAAGAAGAACAGGACCGGCTTGAGAAAATTTTAGAAGATTTAAAAATTCAGGGACAACAAGACAAACAAGAAGAGCAGGACCGTATTCAACAGAGTATCGAAAATTCGGAACGAAGACAAGAGACCCACTTCCAAGAAGTCGTAGAAGATCTGGAGGAGCGCCTTCAGCAGAAAATGGAAAAATTAGAGATGGACCTACAGAAGACCAAGGTACAAGTAAGGACACCTGGCGTTTCTGGAACTGCGAACCTCAAGGCACCGACCTACGATGGACAAACGACATGGACAATGTACCACCGTCAGTTTGAAGCAGCCGCCGCTGCCAACGGATGGACTGACCGGGAGAAAGCAGCGGCACTTGTCATCGCGCTGCGTGGCCCTGCCCTGGAACTGTTGCAAACTATTCCTGCAGCCCAACAGCAGGAATACCAAACTTTGGTCACTGCACTGGACAGAAGATATGGCGACCAACATCGACGCCAACTTTACCAGGCCCAGATCAAGACACGCCTGCAGAGGTCCGGAGAGAGTCTGCAGGAATTTGAAGCAGACTTACGTCGGCTGGTACACCTAGCGTATCCTGTAGCACCGGAAGGATTTAGGGAGGAACTCGCTGCTCAGTGCTTTATCAGCGGACCGAGGGACAACGAATTACAGAGGGCGCTGCAAATATCCCGATTTTATACCAGCAGCGAAACACTGGTCAGGGCGCTAGAAATTGAAGCTGCTTTTAGCGCCATCCCTAGACCGAAGATAAGATCGGTAACGGTCGAGGAACAGCCCGGAAGTTCTCACATATGTTTGGAGGAGATGTTTAGTAAACTATGTGAGTTACTAGTGAACAAGAGTAGCAACAACACCCAGACAGAGAACCAGAGAAGATCCCAGGATATTAGGTGCTATAGATGTGGCAGGAATGGCCCATTAAACGGGATTGCCGCGTTCAAATGCGATCCCGTTCACCATCCAGAGAACGTAGGCACCAGGAAAACTAAAATCAGTCAATACTAAGGGGCGAGTATTGACTGGGGAGAACAGAGCCCCCAGGATTTTTTCCATTAGAAGTCTAGGAAGAACCGCTGACAGTTTGGTGATCGACGGGAAAGTCAATGGAAAGGGAATCCGAATGACAGTGGACACTGGCGCTATGGTATCGTTGGTGCGGGCTAACTCAGTGCAAGGATTGAAGCTGATGCCTCTGAGAAGAAGAGTGTGTTTACGTACAGTTACGGGGGAAATGGCCGTTGTACGGGGAGAGGCTATCGTCGAACTGAAGTTAGGAAATTTGAAGTTCCAGCATAGCGTTTTAGTGGCAGATATTGAAGATGACTTCATCTTGGGCATGGATGTGATTCGTCAACATGGATTTTCGTTCGATCACCAGAGAAATATCCTGAATATCGGAAATGAAGAGTTTATGTTATCTCCAGACGAGGGACCAGGAAGAATGGATGTAAGATCAGCGGAAACTGTGGTGATACCTGGTAATACCGAGAAGATCGTATTCGGTAAAGTGGAGAAAATCGCTGGGTGCTGTGTTGGACTGGTACAAAGTGTCAACAAGAAACAAGATAGGTACTTAGTAGGAAAATCATTGGTGAACACCGACAAGAATATACCGATCAGAGTTGCGAATGTTTTCCCGAATTGTGTCAAGATTCAAAAAGGTGACAAGATAGCCATCTGCGAACCTGTAAGAAGTGTCAACCCGATGTGATCAGTGCCGTCAGCTGTTACACAAATGACATCCAAAGAAACACTAAAACATCTAGAGCAGCCATGGGATCACCTAACATCTGAGGAGAAACAGAAGGCTAAGGAGTTCCTGTTTAGGCATGGCAGTATTTTTGAAAAGAACAACAGTGGAAGAACAGATTTTGTGAAGCACCGGATTAAAACTGGTCATGCCCAGCCTATTCGACAACGTCCTAGAAGGGTGCCCCTTTCCAAACAACAAGAAATGGAGACCATGGTAGATAAGATGCTAGAAGATGGAGTTATCGAAGAATCATCGAGTCCATGGTCATCTCCTGTTGTTTTGGTGACGAAGAAAGATGGTAGTACACGATTCTGCGTGGACTATCGGAAGCTCAATGACGTCACTAAGAAGGATAGCTACCCACTGCCACGTATGGACGACACGTTAACCACTCTGGCAGGTTCGTGCTCTCGACTTAAAGAGTCCACTCTCGACTTAAAGAGTGGATACTGGCAAGTTGGTCTAGACGACAAAGAAAAGACGGTTTTTTCTACAGGAAACGGACTAGGGCGCGGTGGGGTAAAAATGGGACATTTTACATATCTTTTTATTTTTTTCCCATTAAAAAAACCTTAAAGTAAATAAAAAAAGTGGGTAAAATTTCACGGGAAATTACATTATATTCACCAAATGTCATAAAAACAAGTATTTCTTTAATAAAAAAAAATAAATCTCTGTCTCATTTTTTTCCTGTCGTTGGGGCAAAAATAAGACATGCTTGGAAAAAAATGAGACAGGGTGTAAAACGAAGGTTTCCATCATATTATTCGATCTGGGGAAAGACTGATACAGGTAAGTATAAAAATAAGACACACAACATTTTGTGAATTATTAATTTGTACTGTTTTAATTTCAAAAAATGGGAAAAATCTCATAATACTGTTTAACAAAACAAGTCAAAGTAAACTAATAAGTAAATTCTACTTAAAAAATAGAACGTAGGGTAAGTATAATAAAACATTTAGCTAATTAACAGAAAACTTTTGAAAGTCTATCGGAAAAGCAAGCTTTTGGGACATTCTAGCGGTTCCTCCTTGGCAACTAGGGGAGGGTAATTTCATTACAATATCGTCTTTGTCCACATTATAATTTTCAGGCACGGTGGGAAATACAAATTTGTTCACTTGTCGACGCATATACGATACGCAGTACTCACTTCCCTTGATATTTTCTACTAACGCAACGTAATGTACCAGTTTCTTTTTTGTAGCAAACTTTATTAAAACATAGTCTCCGGAATGTATCTCATTTGAGCAGGTGTCAAATTCGTTATCTGAATTGGATTCAACTAGATCAGCTAACGTCATATCATCCACATCACTTTCGTCTTGAAGAATAATGCCTTCGGCTTCACTTTCTGAGGAAGAACTTGGAACTCGATCTATTTTTTGAATATTTTTCTTTTGTACCTTTTTTGTTTGAACTCTACCTTTTTGAATGACTTCTTTTTGTTTAATGCTTTCTAAATATTCAGCACTCGTAAGAACCGCAGAGTTTGAATTAATCTTACGTCTTGTCTTAGTCTCAGGATTTGTTTTATTGATTTTGGCAAGCAAAATTTCTTCGAACGTGGTGGACGATGAAGCTGTGCCCGCGATTGAAATATTTGATGTGGATGCCAAATTAATTTCATTTATTATCTGGTTTGCCTCTTGCTTTCTACCTTGTTTCGACTTATTTTTGTTGTTAAGCGACCTACTAAGCTTGGACTTGTCGATTCTAAATTGTCGTGCTGCCTCTCTTACCCCAAGCTTCCCTTGTTTAACAAGATTTATGGCTTCTTCTAAGTCTTTTGCTGTATATTTTTTTAATTTAGGAACGTATGTTCTAGGCATTTTGAAAACAATTCCAGTTATCCTAGAATAATAATAAGTTACTAGTAGAAAACGCAAATTTTACCTGTCTCATTTTTACTCCAACAGGTGTCTCACATTTACCCCCACACAAGTCTCAATTTTACCCCAGAATAATTTTACGAGCGCTCGGGTCAGGTATCAAAGAAAGACTGTTGCACATGGTTCCAACGCATCACAAGACAAACACAACAATATTCCGACTTTAAACGAGTCGCTCCGACAATTTAGGCTGCCGTGGCGGGAAAAGTTAGCGCCTTTTATTTGAAAGTTTTATGAGTGTTTTTTGTGATTCCTTCAAATACATCATGTTTGATATTTTCTGTGCCATAATTGTTTAAATTTAATACAGGCATGCTCAACTTAAAAGAGGACTTAACGTTTTTACTTAATCAGAGTTTAGAAAAAGATGTTTAATAATAGAAAAAACTCACTGTCTCATTTTTACCTCAAATTTTTACTGTCTCATTTTTGCACCGCCGTGCCCTATATCAATTCAAGGTCATGCCGTTTGGATTATGCAATGCTCCAGCCACTTTCGAACGTCTCATGGAGGTGGTGTTAAGAGGATTAACTTGGAAAACGTGCTTGGTTTACCTCGACGATGTATTGGTTATGGGAAGAACTTTTGAGGAGCATTTGCGAAATCTAGAAGAAGTCTTCGGCCGCATACGGAATGCTCACCTGTACTTGAACCCGAAGAAGTGTAGCTTATTCCAGCGACAAGTGGAATTTTTGGGCCATGTAGTCTCAGCAGACGGAATTTACACTGACCAGAAGAAAATCGCTGCAATCAAGGATTGGCCTAAACCTCGCGACAAACATGAACTTAGAAGTTTTCTGGGTTTATGCACCTATTACAGAAGATTTGTCAAGGGATTTGCCAATATAGCTGCACCCTTACATAGACTTACAGGTGATGAAGTCGGCTACGAATGGAACACCGATTGTGATGTAGACTTTATGTTCAAGTCCTATTTTAGCCTACCCACAACAACAAGGGAGGTATATCCTGGATACCGACGCCAGCAACATCGGCATCGGTGCAGTGCTATCACAAGTGCAAGATGGCGAAGAACGAGTGATAGAATATTACAGTCGAGTTCTATCTAAACCAGAAAGGAATTACTGCGTTACCCGGAAGGAGCTGCTAGCAATTGTGAAGGCAGTTGATCATTTTCATAAATACCTGTATGGCCAAGAATTTTTAATTAGGACAGATCATGCGGCTCTCAAATGGCTTATGGAGATGAAACAACCTGAAGGTCAAATAGCACGATGGCTCGAGAAGCTCCAGCAGTATCACTTTACCATCCAACATCGTGCTGGAAAGATGCATGGTAACGCAGACGGTTTATCCAGAAGACCCTGTCAAATCGATTGTAAGCACTGCAGTAAAACGGAACAACGTGAAATTACTGTCATGATAAGGAGTTTTAAGCTTGGAACCGATGAACAGTGGACGACGACACAATTGAGGAAAGATCAAATGGAAGATCCAGACATCGGAGCAATACTACGGCTCAAGGAAGGTAACGGCGAGAGACCACCGTGGCAGGATATTGCGGACAGAGGGCTCGTTTTCAAAGCTCTCTGGGCTCAGTGGAATTCACTGGTTATTGAGAATGGATTGTTAAAGCGCACATGGGAAAGTGCGGATGGCAGCACAGTAACAACTCAGTTACTGGTACCAAGGAAGAAAGTTACCCAGGTATTGGAAGAAATTCACGGTGGTAAAACTGGAGCCCATCTTGGGGTAAACAAGACCTTGAGCAAGCTGAGAGATCGCTTTTACTGGGTGGATTATTGCGAAGATGTCAAGAAATGGTGTCGACAATGTAAAATTTGTGCAGCCAGCCAAGGACCAAGCACTCGATCTAGGGGAAAAATGAAACAATATAACGTTGGACTGCCATTCGAAAGAATCGCTGTTGACATTGCAGGCCCATTCCCTGAAACGCACAAGGGCAACAAGTACGTTTTAGTGGCGATGGATTATTTCAGTAAATGGCCAGAAGTTTTTGCCATTCCAAACCAAGAAGCATCGACTGTAGCTGAAGTATTAGTCATAATGTCTTCAGTAGATTTGGAATTCCTTTAGAGCTTCACACTGACCAAGGAAGGAACTTCGAGTCAAGACTGTTCCAGAAGATGTGTGATCTGCTTGGTATTCACAAGACTAGGACAACAGCTTTACATCCGCAGTCTGATGGGATGGTCGAGAGATTCAATAAGACCATTGAAGAACATCTCTCGAAAATGGTGGATGAACATCAAAGAGATTGGGATCAGCATATACCACTATTCCTAATGGCATATAGAAGTGCAGTTCACAACACCACCGGACTTTCACCATCGAAGATTTTATTTGGTCGAGAATTACGGTTGCCTTGTGACTTGGTGTTCGGATCACCAGACGACAGCACCACGAACGTAGAGGACTACGCGGATGAACTGAAGGAAAGGTTATTGGGAATTCATAAGGCCGTGAGAAGTAAGATTACGCTAGCCAGTGACCGGATGAAAGCTCGTTACGACCTCAGAGCTAATTCTACGGGATTTCAACAGGACGATATGGTATGGTTATATAACCCACAGCGCAAGAAAGGGAGGTCCCCAAAGTTAACTCCAGCATGGGACGGTCCTTATACAGTCATCAAGAGGATAAATGATGTTGTGTACCGGATTCAACGCAGCCCTAGAAGTAAGATGAAAGTAGTTCATCTGGATCGATTGAGGAGATACCAGACAGGAAACCTTGATCGGGACGATCAAATTTGAGAAGGGGGCAATGTCAAGGTGTATTACTGGTTGCATAACTGCATACTGCTAAAAAATCGCAACGTGCATTGAGGAACCTGGCGCATTCGCCAGAAAGTAAAGAAAATTATAGAATTCTTTAGAAAAATCTAGAAACAACCGCCAGGGGGTATATAAGGCCCGCGCTTTGACAGTTGGAAGTTTGAAGTCTGAAGTCTGAAGAAGTCTAAGTCTGAAGTTTGATAATACCGCGAAATACCGTTAGAGTAATAGTAGTTGCATAAGTTGTGTTGTAAATAGTATAAGTTGTGTGTACAGAGTGAAACAAATAAATTCGTTAAGTATTTTATCGTGAGTTTAAATAGTGGACCCACGGAATCCGTAACAATATGAACTATGTATATATTAACTATTTTTCATTTTTTTACGTCTGTCAGGAGTGTCAAATGTTACTCACGTAACCGTTCATATTTATTCTGTGCCGTAGTTCTATTCACGTACAATCTGTTTACGTCAAAAAATTGATTACCAATATACTATTACAAACTATATTACATATCATATGTTAATACATACAATACATACAATAATAATAATACATATCATTACAATACAAATCAATATAATATCCTTTTAATGCAATATCAGGTACAAAAAGGCACCTAGCGGAATTAACAGCTGTATGTGCCGAAAAAAAATTGCAAAATAATATTATTTATGTACTTACTTAATTTAACAATATGCAAGAAAAAAAAACAATATAACAATAGCATATTTAAGATTTTTTTATAACAATGTAATAAATTTTGTGTTATTTACAAAAATATAGTCTCTACAGGCCAAGTTAAATTTTTTTAGATTTTTTATTTATATCCAATAAATCTTTGGTTAATATTTTTATGACTAATAGGAACTTGTAACTTATTAAGTGTTCTACTTCTAGTTAAGTGACAGTGCTTTACATACTTCCTAAGACCCTCAATCTTATGGAGATAGGAACAAACAGAATGAATATATAGAGATCTAACATTAAAGAGTTTCTCATCGTAAAGAAGGTTCGTTGAGAATAATTTCTCCTTTTTGTTCATGATTTTAAGAATATAATTTTGTGTTACATTGAGTTGTGTCAAGGCAGAAGAATAAAGTCCTCCCCAAATAACGATTCCATACTTAATTAAAGATTCTACCAATACCATATAAATAATGAATAAAAATTTTTTAGAAAGGATATCTCGCAAAATATAAAATTTATATATGTTTTCTAAGGCTATTTGTTAGTTTTAAAATATAGTGATCCCGTTTTAAATAGCAGTCAATAATTATGCCCAGATACTTTACAGGAACCTCCTTTATTGTGGTGTTTACCTCGCTTATTTGAATGTTGGAAACATTAGGTCGGTTTACATTCGTATATGTAAAGACTATATAATGGGTTTTATCTAAATTTAATGTAAGTTTGTTAAAATCTAACTAATTCTTTATAATAGCTAAGCCGTTGGCTACCTTATCCTTAGTGCTCTTCCAGTCTCTGCCAGAGAAAACCAAAACAGTATCGTCCGCATATGAAATAATGGAACCCCCAATATTAAGAAATGTCATTGAATTGATGTAAATGATAAATAGTATTGGCCCTAGTACGGTTCCCTGTGGTATACCAATAGTGGTTTTGAGAGGATCACTCAAAGAATTACTTATTTTTAAAAATTGGTTTCTATTTGTTAAATATGACCGAAAGATGTCCAACACAGGGCCCCTGATACCACTTTTTTCAAGTGTTTTAATTAGCATATCATGGGGCACCGTGTCAAACGCCTTAGCTAAGTCCAAAAAAACTGCAATACTTTTTTCACCATTGTTAAGATTTGAAGTTATTTGATCCACCAATTCATACATAGCATCGCAAGTGCTGGTCCCACCCACGAAACCGAATTGTTTTTTAGATAAGATTTTTAAATCGGAAAAAAATTCCATTAATCTTTGCTTAAGACATTTTTCAAACAACTTCCCAAAATTGTTAATGACACTTATTGGTCTGTAGTTATTAATATTATTTTTATTACCAGCTTTGTGGATAGGGGTTATTACAGCAGTTTTAAATCTTAAAGGTACAATGCTAGTTTTAAAAATTAAGTTTATTATATGTGATAAAGGATTCAAAATATAGGCATGCACCGATTTTATAATCCTGACTGACACACCGTCTTCGCCAGGAGCCGAACAATTTTTGAGTGAGTTTATGTGTTTTATTAATTCATTTTTATTTACCGGTGTTAAGAAAAGTGATGATGATGGTTCTTTATTAATACATTCCGGCTCCCTGGCTGGAGGTATTTTTTTAGCCATATCGTTACCGACTGATATGAAGAAGTTGTTAGAAAAGTTGGCCATGTCTTTGTCTGTTTTAAAGGTTTTGTTTTCATTGTCCAAAATATTTATTATGTCATTGTTTTTAGCATTTTCATTTGTGGCTTTAGATATAATTTTATAAATTTTTTTCATGTCACTTTTATTTTCATTTAATTTATTTTTGTAATAGTCAAGTTTACATTTATTTATTACTTTATTTAACTGGTTTCTATAATGTTTATACTGAGTTTTTAAAGCTTCATTATTTGAATGCAAAACTTTCTTCCTTAGTTTATCTCTTTGTTTTATGGAGTTTATAATACCAATTGTAATCCAAGGTTTGATTTTTTTTTGAGTTGTTCATTAAGACTTTTATTGATTGGGCTTTATTTAGTAAGTTTTGAAAAATTTCATAGAACATGTTAGTGGCTTCCTCAGAAGTTGAACAGTCCATAACAGATTGCCAATTTTGCATTGCAAAAAGGTTTGATAAAGCAATATAATCAATTTTAAGAATTTCTTTATATACTGATATAATATCTATTACTATTATTATATTTTATGATATTGTAATTTATCTTCTATATATGTATGTAATTTTTAAATGCTTTTAGCTTGAAAAAATAGAGAAATGTATTTATTTTATTCTCGTTTTCCATTTATGAAGATGCTTAAACTACGCCAATGACGTTGTCAAATAAAAAGGATACAACGGCTTGTTTACATTCTGCTTGTATATGTTTGGTATATAATTTAGTAAACTTTATCTTCTAGTTATTTTATGAATGAATGTCTTGAATGAATAGTTATTTCAATATGATTGTTATTATATTTCGAACGACCTTATTTACAGGTTATTTTATTATAAGGAATAAGGAACGCAATTATTCCTTTAATTATGCAATTATTCATTGATAAAAACGGTGTGTGGCGCTTAAATTGCATTCGCTTAATGCATTTAAAGTAGTGTATAAAGAAAAACATGCAGCACTTTGATTTTTATCACTTTTATTTCCAAGCACTATTTATAGGATATAAAAAACATTACAACTAATATCTTACATATAATATTGAGAATTAAAAACAATATCACATTTAGATTAATACTTAATTCAGGGTCCACAACGACCAAATACATCTACACACATGACCAAAATTATTGCATATATCGTTTAAAAATATGCGGAAAGGAATTTAAAGAATCTTTTTTTATACATAGCTTTGATAATCTGTAATAATTTTTTTGTTAAAATGGATATGGTAAACAATGTTTATCATTCAGACCCAATATTATTACAAATTTTTGCACATTTCGATTTGTGGTCTCTTGGGTTTCAGAAGAAATTTGACCATTGTTTTGGCCTTAAAATGCCTAGAAACATTATTTCACAGTTTAATAGAGCCAGAATAGTAACACTGTCTCAACAACTTATTTACAGCAAGTTGCAATAGCTGAAATTGTAAGAGTTAACCACCAAAGCGATGTTTCGCGAATATTAAAAAAAAAATCAGGGAGACTAACGAGGTTACAGACCGGCCTGGAAGAGGTAGAAAGAAAGTTACTACTGCTGCGCAAGACCGTCAAATATCCCTAATTGCACGTCGCAATCCCCTGCTTTCTAGTACTGCTATTAAAAATGAGTTAGCTCGCCTTGAAGGAGTAAATGTTTCAAGAAAGACCATAGCAAGAAGACTCCATGACAGAGGATTACATTTAAGGAGGTCTCTACGTGTTCTGAAGCTTAATTTACAGCACAAAATTACGCGACTACAATGGGCTGAGGAGATGAGAGCAAATGGACCTAATTGGAATTTCGTCATGTTTAGTGATGAAACAAGAATAGGCCTAATGTCAGATTCGCGACGAACTTTGGTCTGGAGAGCATCTGGAAGACGAGCACGCTTGAATGCAGCTCAACCCCGTGTCTCGTTTCAAGGGGGAAGCATTATGGTATGGGCAGGTATAATGCACGGAGCTCGAACTCCTCTTGTTTTTATTGATGGCACAATGACAGGTGCCTCATATCTTAGAGACGTTTTAGAGCCTATTGTGCGTCCATTTCGAGGGGCAGTGGGGGATGAATTTGTTTACATGGACGATAATGCTCCTCCCCATCGCACTTTAGCGGTTCGCGAATTTTGTGAGGAAGGGGGTATAAGAAAACTGTGGTGGCCACCGATGTCTCCAGATATTAATGTGATCGAGCACGCTTGGGACATGCTAAAACGCCATATGAATTGAAAATTGCTACCCGCGAAATATGGGAAGCCATTCCTCAACATCTTCTGGACAACTTAATTTAGAGCATGCCACGTCGCCGTCGCGTCACAGCTTGCATTGAGGCTCGAGGAGGCAATACAAACTATTAGTTGTGAGAAATAATTAAAATTGTTTTCAATATTTTCTGTTTAAAATGAAATTTGTTTTTGTTGATTTTCACTCATTATGAAATAAAATTATAATAACAGCCTAGTTGCACTTAGATTTTTAATTTTATATATAATAAAAAAATCATATTAGGTCCAAAATAAAATAAAAATATCGTTATGTGCAATAATTTTGGCCATGTGTGTATATATATCTATAACTAAAATATAGAAACAGTTCCATCATGATTTATATTAAATTTAGCACTGCATATGCCAGGAGAGAAGTATCTAATAACGTCAATTTATTATAGAAACGAATATTTCCTGTTTTATTTCTTTTAAGATTTATTGACGATAGATAGATAAAGTAACTGACACTTTTCAGAGCGTATATATCTTTTTTAAGTGACGCTAAGGTTATTCCTATTTCGCCATTTATAGTGACTTTATTAATGTCTCGGAAAATATCGTTTTTCACTTAAAGCTGCAGGTTGAGTTGGAGCCAATAGTAACAAGTATATTGCGATCTGTGTTTGTTTTCTATAAATGCCAAGTTGAGTAATACGAGCAAATAATGTTGATAAATGATATTTTGCACCAATTTAGATATACCCCGCACTATAATAACACTCTAGGCGATGAAGAAAATGCACTTATTTTGATCCGTATATAGGGTGTCAAGAAAATTTAAGATTTTTTTGCATAATAATTTCATACAGTGAGATCTTTCGATAATATTGCCATTATGGTGGCACTTTTAGTTATCTAAATGTTAATTTTGATATTTTATACTCATGTTTTTTTTATTTAAATTTCCCGTTAAAATACATATATATGTCGAATTTTGTTGTCAATAATTCTATATTAAGAATTATCCGTTTTTTGACAGATATAGGTAGATACTGTAGTTCCCTAAAACGTCAATTGCAAGCACCTCAGTTAGGTACACCCTGTATATTACAATTGTAGTACGGGTTTAATAAATCTTATATAAAGCCTAAGTTTGTAAAATATTTTGTTATGGACCCTGCTAAATTACTTATTATTATAATATGTTTAAAAATACATATATTTATACATTTTTGTACTAATTTATATAATTTAGAAATATTCCTCTATTATTATTATTTAAGTCTTTACACCTTTCGATCTTTTAACTCGTCTTGAATCCTTAAAATATAATATACTTGACTATTTTTGAAAAATAAAGTGGACTATAATTATTTGGATACCTGGAACATATATCACAAATTTACTAATATTAATGACGATAGTTTTATTTATACAGGGTCAGGTTAAATATTTTTAGGGGTAGTATATTTCGACGTTAGAAACCGTCTATGAGGTTTTTTTTCGTGAAAAAAAATTGAAATTTGGAATTTCTTGGAAAATTTTTTGGATTTTTTTTTAAATTTTTAATAAAAGAATATATCTTCATAATATGGCAACATAGGTAGTAGAATTTTATAAGAAAGAAAACCCAGAAAAGATCCGACGGTTCTCAAAATTTAAGCGTTTATATTAAAATATTTGTTTTTTAAAATATCTCGATTGTTTTGGACTTATTTGAAAAACGGCAAAGAGAAAATATGTTTCGTTTATCGAGATCTACCAACCCTGAAAATATATTATTACATGTATTGGCACCTATTTAAGACTCACCTTATATGTTATATAATATATTGTATAATTATTGAATTGTACTGTTATTTTATACATTTTTTGTAATACTATACAAATTTCAAATAATCAAGATGAGTTAAAATAAACCTTCTGGAGTTTTTACATTGGAACTTAATTCATTTTATACCATAGTATGCGTTCTTACCATTGAACAAGAATACTAAGGAAGAAGTACCGTATGATCGAAAAAAAACGGCGTCCAGTTAGCTAGGAAATGACGATCGATGACATTTCCCATATAAAATGACAGCGATCTTCATTTCATAGCCATCGCATAATTTTGTATTAGCATTAATGAACCAACCATAAGTTGTTTGATACATTCTTTCCTTAGTCTAGTTATTCAGTGGTTTTTAGGCATATTTATTTTTTCGTTATTTTTAGACAACGAGAAGATACATGACAGTGACATTTATTATCTTGTCATTTTATTTCACATGTAAATATTATTTTCTGTCATTTTTGGACGTAGTGTCTGGCAATCTTCACTAACCTATATTTCTTAGTCTTTTACTCAACTACACTACTGTCACACTACAGTCCCGTTACGCAAATTGTATTTTCTGTCATTTCGTCACGTCGTCTCTCGAAATCTCCCCAGACTGAATGGACGAACTTTACACATGCTTAAAATCGCTCTTTCGACAAATTTATTTGATACCTATACCTCTTAGGCTTTTGATTCAACGATTTTTAGAGACATGCATTTACATTAGTGTCACACGCTGTCAACTACAGTCCCGTTACTCTTCAAACTGTTTTTATCCCCGTCCGTTTTGTACTCGGCGAGTTCCAGCTGTTCGCACACCGAGGGACACCTGAACTCGTCCTCGTTCGAGATGGAGTTCTTCTTGCTCGGTACGTGATTGGTGACGTACTGCGCGCTGCCGTACGCGTTCAGCGAGCGGCAGCGCAGCAGCGTGAAGAAGGCGGCGCGGAAGTTGTGGTTCTTCCACGCGTAGATGAGCGGGTTCATGCCCGAGTTGGCCACGGCCAGGTTAAAGGCGATCTCGTAGAGGAGGGCCGACTTGGCCTCCTTGTGGTAGCGGGCGTAGAGGGCGATGACGAAGTAGGGCAGCCAGCAGATGGTGAAGCAGCCCAGGATCATCAGCATCACCTGGGAACGAGAGAAAATATTATTAATTTCAAAATAGTTTTAATGAACAACTATCTACAGGGTGGTCGGAACTGTATTCCGGAAACTTTGGCAGCATATTCTGCAGATAAAAATAAGTAAAAAAGTTCGTATAAATGTATGTTCTCAAATGCTTAGTTTCCGAGATACAGGGTGTAGAAGTTTCATTTTTATTTCGATTTTTTCCAAATAATTTCTGAAATAACTTTAACATTTCGATGTAAAATAGTGTCTGGGAGTTTTTTGACATGAGAAATTGATTTTGAGGTCAATATGTCTCCTAATTGTAGGTGGCGCCACCTACATGTGTTTTAACTGTTTTGAAGAGTAATAACTTTTCGTCCATACCTTTATAAAACTACTGAGTGAAAAAATATACATTTCCGTAATTTTTTACGTAATAGATGTCACCTGGTAAAAATCGCTACGAGCAACCGTTCTCAAGATATTTAGAATAGAAATAGTCAATACATGTCATTACTGACAAAAAATAAACATTTTGAGTACATAGTCATTAAATTAATCAAATTTTTCTTCGAAAATGATGATAAAATAGTTTATGTTAAACTTTTGGCACAAAAACATTTCAAATTTATGATTTCAGTCTAATCACTATTTAGTCAACCAAATATCAATCCAAATATTGACGTTACTATTGACTTACTAGAATATTACGGATTCTTACAGGATGGTTCTTCCAGTATTAGTCCTAACCTTACTGTTAACATTAACCCTAAAATGATTAACCTATTACTAACCTTAAGACCTTAAGAAAATGCCGTTCATACTTTACTTGCGCACATATTATTATGAAGCGTATATTTTTAGTTAACCTAACTTTATAAATATTTTTTGAATTTAGAAAACCAGAGAGACTAATTTTCACAATGATTGAATCATCAGACCGGTCCGATGCAGTGCGCAGGATTACATTTATTTCTGTGTATACCAAAACCTGCCGATAGCTCTTAGCCGAGTCGACCGGTCCGAATCGATACAGTGCGCGCGTTCCTTAATAGTGAATAACCCTGTATCTGTCCAACGAGAGAATACACGACAGTGACAGTTGTGTCTGTTATTTTTTGGATGTTCAAATCCAAGGACTGTATATATTCTAAAGGACTGTTCGATCGCGTCAAATCGCCGCTGTCGTAGTCGCCGTGGAATGCTACGTCACGCGCTGACCAGCGCTCCACAGTGCGGCGAATGGTTATTCTAGCGGGACAAAATCTCAAGAGCAATGTTTGGGACTTAAAATCTAAGAACGTAGCAAAGGGTCTAATATATAGCAACTCTATGGTTAAATTTATTTATTTATTAACAACTTAATTTATTAGTAAATAAATACAAGATAATAAAACTATGATATTATTCGTACATGACACACAAAAACCGTATTGTAAACTATTGCCAAATACATAAAATTATGATATCAAAAAACTCTTTAGCAATTTTTTTAAATTAATTTCTAATCTTGTGACACCCTCTATAATTTATTTAAAAAAAAAAATATTTTATTTTGAAAATAATAAATAAGATAGATATTTTAATTTTAACACTCGGTAATTGTAAGTTCATATATAGTAAGTATGTAAGACAATTTTTTAAACTCAGTGCCTTTTGATGGAGTTGTTTTGTTTTTATACTATCCGATTGAAATGAATCTTTTTGGGTATTCACCTGTTAAGCTTGAACTCCCTGTGACTGTGACTACCTGTGTTGGTAACTATTAGTAACTCAAAAGATCTACATCATTCAATATATCGATATTTGAAAAAAAAGTGAAAGTTTGATATCTGCAGAACAAAGGCACGAAGGATTTTAACAAATAATATACGTACAGTAGAAAAGCACATACCTTTGGCAATCTTCAACATAATTTGGCTTTCTAATAAAATGTATAAGCACTTGTAAATATTTTGTTTTCGTATGATCTCTGCCTTGCTGAGCAGAAAACGACCAAATTTGGTTGATAAAAATGTATCGAAATACAAAGAATATTCATGCATTTTTGTATCAATTGGAATGTCTACTATTTATTCTTATCAGTACACATTTTTGGCTTATTTCTAACCAAACGCTTTTATCCCGCTAAATTTATCTTCCAACGCACTGTGCGCTCGTCCGTCAAATGCAAAAATAACTGTCACTGTCTAAAATCTTTAGCGCCAACTTCAACTCGGTCAGCAGATGACGTAAAAAAACTGACAGTGCAGGAAGATAGGAATCGAACTATCCTTATCTCTATAGTATCCTTGGTTCAAATCTTCTTTGACTCGTTGGACAAACTTTAGTTGCAAAAGTTGATTCACCCTATATGTTTTCTCGAATTAGGATTCAATTGACTTTTGCTGTTAAAATCCGATAAATTCCATTTACTACCAAATACGCGTAGGAAACAATTCTCCGGAAATAACTTCGCTATGTAATAAGTTTTTTTTGGTTGTTTCCCAACCTTCACACCAAAAAAATATCAGCCTACTTCCATATAAGCGATTTGTCGTAAATTAAATATTTTATCATGTTTTGTTAATATAATTCCATAAACGATTTCATATACTCGTAGTGCTATTTTTATCTATTTCCAGATAGTGTTAGGCTATTATTCACGTTTAATTTGATATTTAAAGAGGAGTACTACGGCTTATAGGGGTTACTTTCGCTATCAATTTTTTAATGCATAGCTTTCTTCGCTGAATCTACCAAAAATAAACTTAACGGCATTGACCTCTATTCATTTTAATATTTCGATGTTAGCCTACTTAATTAGTTTATCCACTGCATATATAATAAGTAGAAGGTGACAGACAGATATTTTTTTCAAAGATTTCTTCTATTGCTCATGAAGAAGATATTCTTTCTGTGGATGTTTATATTATTGTTTGGCTTTTTAAATACTGTTTTTACACTTTATTTAGGAATTACGTAAATAGAAGTTGAATTACAAGGCATTTATTAATACAGGAAAAAATAAGCTAATTATATCAATACATGAATATCTATAAATATTTAAATATATTAAGAAAGGCGAAAAAATATTTATAATTTGATAATAGTTATTTACAGTACAAGTGTGTTTATGAACATGATTACAACAACGAGTGTGAAGGATTAGAACGACGAGGCCGTAGACCGAGTCGTTCTAATCACACGAGTGTTGTAATCATGTTTAAACGCACGTGTCATGTACAACGTTTTATCTACAACCGAAAAATAAGAAAATGCTGTTTTAATTTTCGTTTATTAGTCGTCCACCTTTAACACCTTTAACTATGACATTTGTCACATTTATGCTGAAAAGTCAGTTTGCCCTGTCGCGTAAGTAAACGCGAGCACTTTTTGCCCAGAAAAATCATTTTAAAAATTACGATGAGCGATTCCGAAAGTCTCCCTTCAGATGTAGAACTTGCCGCAGTAGGTGCCACGGAATCATTATTGCCGGAAAAGTTAATATATTTAGATGTTCGTAGTTGTTTTTCATTATTATAGCAACTAGTTGTGTTATAGATTCATAACACGACTAGTTGTGTTATGAATCTCATAACGTAACTCAAATACTAAAAAAATAGTGATGTAAAAACGTTATAACTAAACGGTTGTAGATAAAATATATTATATGTATATAGTAATCGCAAAACAATTTCCGATGCACGTGATCATCTTATTTTCCGAATACAATACATATAATTTTCGTCTTAATTTTGCAATATTTTTTTAGTACGTATAGTTTAATATTGAATGACATAAACTTATATTATTAGTTCATATACCCATAACAAATTAACATTTAAACAAATCATTTTTCAGGTATTAACTAACTGTACCTATTGTCATTTTTTAGTAATGTGAATATTATTTTATTAATACAAATCATTATTAATAATAATTGTTTTATAATGACAAATTGCTAATCTTTATTATTGACGCAATGCAAGATGTTTGTCTTTTAAACACGTCTTAATGTTCCTTAAATAAAAGTTTATTAAAATACACGGTATTTAATTATGAGTTGTCGTAATTAACCGTCTACAATGTCTTCCTCGGTTGCGTGTGCCAATATTGTTTTTGGTGTGTAAACAGTACGAAATTATTTACAAATACTGCTGAATCATTCTTATGTAATAGAGATATTGAGGTAGACCTTTGGTTTTTAAATTTATTTAGCCGGCGCGGCATCAAGACATTATTATTAACTTTGACTCTTCTGGGAATATGATATCGCCACTACATAATGGTTGGTTCATACTTCGAGTATTAGTCCTAACCTTACCCTTAATATTAACCCTAAGAAATTAACCTTAAGAACTTAAGGACATGCTGTTCATATTTCTCCTACTTTTCTTGGAAGTATTTTATTTCCATATGTATGAAACATAATATGAAGAAATGTATACTTTTTTTCTCAGTAGGGCATAATACAGGCACGGACGAAAAGTTTTTACCCTTCAAAACAGTTAAAATTAAAACTTAAAACGCTTTGAATAAAAAGATTAAGGAAGGAGTATAATGCTATCATGCATGGTGGACGGAAAAACGACTCTAGGGTGGGGATCCTTGACATTTCTGTTTGACGATTCACTTGACACATTTGAATTTGATTTGAAATTTTGTGGATTTACTTTGCTGATATTATTTTATTTTGCCAACTAAAGAATAACTGGTGGTCACAAAAAGCGAATCAGATTCAAGAGTACGTCACGCATCACGATTATCGTAAATTCTTCGAGGCTGTACAAGAAGTATACGGCCCCACCAAGAGGGTAAGCTGCCCAATCATGGCACAAAATGGCGAACTTCTAAAAGAGGAAGAACAAATCAGAAACCGCTGGAAAGAGCATTACAGTATAACAGCCTCGATCTATTAGACATCCCAATAACAGAACAGGAAATAAAGGCCTCCATAAAACAGCTTAAAAACAGCAAATCAGCTGGCTGTGACGCGATTCCGGCGGAAATCTATAAGTAAGTAAATAACTTACTGA